ATTTAGCTGCTTAAGTGCATTTAATTTCTAATGAATAATAATAATAATGTTGACCATTTACTGAGCTGGGCACTATGCAAAGCTCTTAATATTGTTATTACATTCAATTATTCCACTTGGCCCCACTTTAAGCCTGTGCATAGGCTTCTCTGCCACAGTTATTACTTTGAGGCATCTCAGGGTTGAGGATTTGCCTGAGGTCATACAGCTGGTGAGCTGTAGGGTAGAAGTAAAAATAAAACTAATCTCTGCTTCTAGTAAAGTGAAGCCTTTAGAATGGGCAGTGGAGTATCATTACAACATGTAGAGCTTACAATACTAGGGCTTCAAAACAGCAAGAAGATGGCTCAACTCTGCATTAAAATTAAACATAGATCTTCCCTACGACCCAGCCATAACATTCTCAGGCATCTATCCAGAACATCACAAGCCAGGGTACCATAAAGGCACTGGCACATCCATATTCATGCTGCACTATTTACAAGCTAAGTTATGGGAACAGCCCAGATGCACTATAATAGATGAGTGGTTCAAAAAATGTGGTTCTATACACAATGGAATTTTGCACAGACATTAGAAAAAATATTATGTCATTTGCAGGGAAACGGATGGACTTAGGACAAATCATGTTAAGTGAGGTAAGCTAACCTCAGAGATACAAATGATGCATGTTTTCTCTCATATGCAGAAGCTAGATCTAAAATATACCAGGACATGATAAATTAGACAAGACTCTACACATTCACACACAGTGAGACCAAAGGAGGATACTCTCAGGAGAGAAACACAAAGCACAATGCCTATGTGCCTCTAATCACATAAAATCATATTTATTGAAATGAACTCCAGGAAATGGAAACAAGGGGTTTTTCTTTGTTTTTTTTTCTTTTCTTTTTGTCTTGTTTGTTCCTTTATCTGTCTTTGGGAGGGGAAGATGGGCACAGAAATTGAAGGGGAAAGGATGAACAAATACAGCAGTGGTACTCACTGGGCATTATGTTGAAAATGAACTATACAACTTGTAGGTGGGGATGGGAGGGAAAAACTGGGAGAGAGCGAGGGAAGGGTGACATTGTCCAAAAAGAAATGCACTCATTACTTGAGTTATGTAACTGTAACCCCTCTGTAGATTACCTTTATAATAAAACTAAAAATAAAAAGCTATATTAAACCATGCACATGACATTTAGATTATTTTATACAAACAGTAGTCTTTGTTCAAACAAGCACTACTCTATGACACATTGGAAGGATTAGTAGAATGTAGATGGTATTGCATAATTTCCTAATTAATGAATTAGTTTAGAAAATCCCCTTCAATGGCTCTCTGAATACAAGTAGACATTGTATATCTTATGGTAGAAATATATACCACTATTGAAGCCTTCCTTTAAAACAAAAAATAAAAGAACCTGAATATAAATATATGATATAGCTTTGTAAGCTACCCAATACACAAGAAATACAGCATAAGACAGAGGAATATGTTGAAGGAAACTATAAACATGAATGCAGCCAGCAAAATTCCAGACTATAGATAAATATACCAGAAAAATCACCCAGTTTCATTTTAGAAAAAAAAGCAAAGGTATAAAAGAGAAATGGAAGAGAAAACTATAGATTCTAAGCAACAAGAATTAATTTTATGGTCTGCACCTTAATCAAGAGAAAGATAGGCACTGGATCTTTAAAGATATTAAATAATTATTGTTTTAATTAGGTGTGATATGCTACACATTGGAATAATTATAGCAGAAAGTTCATTAGTATTACCAAATAATGCAGGAAGGGTTAGAAGGTATGTAGATGAAACAAGATCAACCAACCATGAATTCATCATGTTGAGGCTTGTGACAAAATCTTTGAAATTTCCACAGATTTGGGGCCGGGAAGGTGGCTCGGTGGTAGAGCACTTACGTTGCATGCCTGAGGCCCTGGGTTCAATTCCTCAGCACCACATAAGCAAAAAGAAAAAAGCCAGAAGTGGCACTGTGGCTCAAGTGGTAGAGTGCTAGCCTTGAGCTGAAGAGCTGAAGGACAGTGCCCAACCCAGAGTTCAGGCCCCATGACCGGACCCCCCCCCCAAAAAAAAGAAATTTCCACAGACTTGAATCTTACTGAGATTGAAATAATGTGGATGCAATATCCTAGAAAAGATTTATGAAAACCACCCTCAGACAGCAAGACTCAGCAAGGGTGAAGAGGAAAGACCTGGAAGAAAAGGAAGAGAACTCCACTAAGCATTGGTGGCTCTCATCTGTAATCTTAGCTACTTAGGTTGCTGAGGATCAAGGTTCAAAACCAGCTGGGGCAGGATAGTCTGTGAGACTATTTATCTCCAATGAACTTCCAAAAGTCAGAAGTAGACCTGTGGCTCAAGTGGTAGAGTGCTAGCCTTGGCCTTGAGCCAAAAAAGCTCAAAGACAAAACTCAAGTTTTGACTTCAAGCCACTGGACTGGCACCAAAAAAAAAAAAAAAGTGGGGGGAGAAGAAATCCAAGATACAAAAGTTCTCTGGGACTGAAAGAGCGGTCTTTGAATTTCATCGAAAGCCATATCGCTTTTCTAACTCATCATTTCAGTCTAGCCATCATCAGTGGTGTCAGGGGACACATTTCCCACTCACCACCAAAGCACTAGACCACAGAAGATAAATTTGGAAATGAAAGGCTAATTTACCCATTCATTCTAATTTATGATCTTCCCTTGGGAACCTTAATAAATTTTTGTTCTGTAACCAATTACTACTCAAATTTAGTGAGTTAGAAAAACAATGTTCCTGTGTGAAAGTCATTTAGAAGAAGTTTATCCAGGAAGTTCTGACTCAAGGTCCTTCATGAATTGAAGGCGCAATGTCATTGGAGCTGGGGGGGTCGAGGGGCGGGTCATATCCAAGTTGGCATATTTATTGGCTTGGCATCTTTGGTCCTGCTGGTAGCAGAGTGTCATTCTTTTCTGCCTGTTTCCTAAGGCTGCCACCAAATGAGGTGGCTTGAAATATCAAATTTATTCTTTCAGTTCTGAGGTTTAAGAATATGAAATCCAGATGTCAGTAAGATCGTGCTATCTCTGAATGCTAGCTTTCTCTTTATGGTGTTGCCAGCAATCCCTGGTGCTTCTTGCCTGGCATGACTGTTGCTCCAGCTGGCCTCAATCATCACAGGACATTCTCCTATGTCTCTTTTCCACTTTTTATAAGAAGTATCAGCCACACTGACTATGGATCTATCTTATCCCAGTGTAAACCCAATTTAACTATTGCATCTGTAATGATTCTATTCCAAAAAAGGTCACATTGTAAGAGGCCAGAAAGAACCTGAATGTGGTGAGGAATTAAGTTAGCTGTTCAATCCAGTGCATTATTCACACGGTCACCTTGAGAATCTATAGGACATGTCAACTAGGGAGCATTAGAACAAGGATCAAGAGCTCCCATTGCAGGAAGTGCAGGGTCTCTAGCAACCTAACATGAGAAACTGTACTCTCACCTCTGTAGTGTATGTTTAGTGGAAGTGACTGTACAGGAGGCAGAGGCCATGGAAGCTACCTCAGTGGCCCAATGGCTAATTTCATGGCATTCAGTCCTTCCTAGCTGGCAGACCAGGGTTCATCCCAGTATTAACCATTGCCTGAATGCTCACTTACTTGGCTACTCATTCCCCTCAGCTCCTCTTGTTTCTCTGAACAGTTGTCAGACACATAACCTCAGACACTATCTGAAAAGTCAACGAAAGCAAAAGGACTAAGGTCACGGCTTACGTGGTAGATTGGAGGCCCTGACTTTAAAACCTCATTTTTCTCCCACTCCCCAACCCCTTATCCCAACCCCCACGCCAAATCAATGCACATATCAATAGATAGCCACTGGTGAGACCTAAGTCCACTTCCCAAAAGCCATTATGTGGTAATTATGTCTTTAGCATGTGGCTTTGAGGGTATATTTCTGTACAGAGGGGTTACCATTACATGAACAAGGTAATGAGTACATTTCTTATCAAGCATTGCTTTCTACCAAACCATAATACTTCTCTGTGAGAGCTTAATTTTGCTAGCCTTTGTTGTGTCACATATACTTTCTTTTTTTCTTAGCTTTATTTTTTTTACCTCTTAATAAAGCAGTTTATGTATACAATGCATCTTGATCTGTGTCATCAATTCAAAATCTTCACCCTCCCCTTCCAACCCATCCCTTCCCTTATATTTCTCAATTCTATAATATATATAGTGAATTTTGCCTATATTCCCTGCCTTCCCCCACTCCATTCTTCTGTCCCTCTCCCCTTGGTCCCATGCTGCCCTCCTCCAAGTACCCATTTTCTGGTACTTATTTTGTTGTGTTTTGACTTCAATTTTTTTTAATTACACTATTTGTGTTCTCCATAGAGTCTATCCTTTTCAAGAAGGTGGTTCTAACATGTAGTGATGGGTTCAAGTGAGAAAGAAAGAAATGGGGCTCTTTTTTTCTCCATTCACATTGGCAATCACACACACACTAAATCTTTATAATTATATAAACATAATTATGATCATTATAACTCATCCAAAGTCATTATTATTCACTGTGATTCTACTATAATCACTATAATCGCACTGATTTTTCTATATATAATTCTGAATGGCACTTTGCTGACAAAAGCTGGTGAATTCAATGCCTATACCCCTTCTGACAAGAATGGTTTGAAGCCAGCCCCAGCAGGAAAGTCCATGAGACTCTTAACCTCCACTTAGCCAACAAAATGCTGGAAGTGGAGCTGTGGCTCAACTGATAGAGTGCCGCCTTTAGAGAAAAAGCCCAAGGATAGAGCCCAGGCCCTGAGTTCAAGCCCCGGTTGGAGGAACATAGGGTATAAAAGACCTCCATTCTGATCCTGAGTGTGTCTTAGGAGCAAGAAAGCCAGAAAGGCACTTGAAACACCAGAGTTACAGGAGGCCTGTATTTCTCATGTTCTTCTGTACATTCTATATTTCCGGCAACGAGAACGTGTTATTTGCATAATTAGATAAAAAATAAAGCCATCAGTGTGGTTTTGAATGAAGTCCTTAAGGTGCGCAGCGCGTCCCCACCTGAAGCCATCGAAGACCGCCCTGGCCCTCGTGTGAACCCTTCAGGGGCCTCTGGTGCGGATGGCGTCCTGCTCTGGGGTTGCTGGTGTACAGTGAACCCGGGCAGCTAGGACCACAGCAGGTGTCGCCTGGCTAAGGGGAGGGGTGGGTGGGCTGGAGTCTGGGAGGCGGAGTCTCCTTTCCAGACTGCATCTGCGCGGTCCTCACCAGTGCCTCTCAACCAGTCCCCAGCTCTGTGTGGCAAACTCAGCCCCAAGAGGTCTCCAGGCCCTCCCACCTCATGCACCTCCTTTGCCCCACTTCCAGGGGTGGTGGTGGTGGTGGTAAAACAAAGATACCAGGGGGTCCTATAACCTGCAGCTGGATAACCAGAGCAGTCAGAAGCCCCTAAGGTGGACATGCCTTTCCCTCACCACCTGGCTGGGTGCCTTAGGAAATCCTGAACTGTATTTGCTCAAGGCTAAGCTCTACCACTTGAGCCACAGCACCATTTCTGTTTTTTTTTTCTGTGATTAATTAGAGAAAAGACTTTTATTGCCTGAGCTGGCTTTGAACTGTGATTCTCAGATCTCAACCTCCTGAGTAGCTATTACAGGAGTGAGTCACCAGTACCCGGCTTATGATTGGTGTATTTGAGGCAGACAAGTCCATTTCCTGAGCTGTGGCCACAGAAGGGTAGGCTGGCCTGGACTCATGTTTGGTGCATTTGAAGCAGGAAAGACTGTCTCCTGGGTACTGGCCTGAAAATAGTGGGCTGTCTTTTCCTCCTTCGTTTAAGGGTAAACAGGCAAGACCCTCTCTCCTGGGCAGTAACAGGAGATGGTGGACTGGCTTGGCTATCTGGGGCTTTCTTTTCTTTCCCTCAACCCCTGACTTGAACTTTTCTGGAAGAAGTTAAACAAGTGAGGTATTTTTCCCACCCAAGATGTGATGCTTGATAAGCAGCTTGACCTGTTCTTACTTCCTGTCTACATGAGGATCTTGAATGAGATTAATAATAATCAAACATGTCCTGTAAAATTGAAAGCAGCACCCCCATATACAAAACAATTAAAATGCCCAATTTTCCTTCAAAACATGTAAAATGATGAAGAGTAATTAAAACATGGTTAAATAAAAGGTTCTAGAAAAGGGCATTATGGCACCATTGGAGCCTACAGTTCATCTCCAAATAGCCCAGGGGTGCAGCCCCCGCTGCAGGTTAAGAAGGTGGGCACATGTGCTGAGGTGCCAAGGATTTCTTGAAGACAGATTAGACCAGATATCTTTCAGCTGAGGTGCAATGTTAGGAATTTCACACGTAGCCAGACACACCTGGGCTCGGCTTCTGATAGCGTCTCAAGGGGCTTCAGGGAAAGGTGTCAGAACTAAACTATAGGTATTAAATGGGTCCAGAACAAGCCACCAGGACAAGCACTATAGGGGAAGCCAGGTAGCCACAGCTACAGGTGTGCATGCATGGGATGGCACAGGAGACGCTGGAGAGGGAGCATTCTAACTTGGAGACAGGCCTGTACTCTAAGGTCTGAAGGGAGATATTTTCCCACTACTGTGTGTGGTCTGCTGCTGTGGGTGGCTGGCAATTCAAGCAGGGCAACAATTGGATCAAAGATGTTTCCCACAGGCCTAGGTGATGGAGGCGGGGCATCATGTGTTTTCTTTCCTTCCTTCCTTCCTTTCCTTCTTTCCTTCCTTCCCTCCCTCTCTCCCTTTCTCTTTTACTTATTTCTGGGCTTGAACTCAAGGCCTAGGTACCATTCCTGATCTTTTTCTGATCAAGGCTAGTACTCTACCACCTAAGCCGCAGCTCCAGTTCTGGCTTTTTGCTGGTTAACTAGAAATAAGAGTCCCATTGACTTTCCTGCCTCAGCTGGCTTTGGAACTGTGTCCTCAGATCTCAGCCCCCCTAAGAAGCTAGGATTACAAGCATGAACCACCATCACAGTGTGATTTTACTGGGAGATGGTTGGACTTCGAGAAGGTGGGGCCTAGTGGAAGAAAAACAGGTCAGCACAGGGGTTGCCTTAAAGAGGATAAAAGGCAGCTGGACCAAGTAACCAAAAATGGAAACTTCTGAAAGCATAGGCTGATTATCTCAAGAATTCTGTCACAGTGAGAGAAAACTCACGAACACAGGTAGTATTTGGAAAAAATACAGTAGATTTCTGCCTAAGACTTATTAGAGGTGACTCAGTAGTTGAAGAAAAAGTAATTTTAAGCTCAAATATACATGATTTCTTTATGGACAAAGTGATTATTAATGCCTTAAAACACAACACAAAATGCAAGAAAAAGCACGTTGGTTGTTGTAAATATTTTTTTATGCTAGTCCTGGCACTTGAATCTAGGGCCTGGGCACTACCACTTAGCTTTTTCACTCACAGTTGATGCTCTATCAATTGAGCCACATCTTCACAGACTTTACAGCCTGGGCTGGCTTTAATTGTGGTCTTCAAACCTCAGCTTCCTGAGTAGCTAGGATTCCATGCATAAGCTATTGGCACCTAGCCAAAAAAGACTTCAAAAACAGTCAAAATAGTTCCAGAGTCTAGTGGTAGTGGATTTATGGATGTTCACTGTAAAGTTTTCCTTAGCTTTCCCACCATGACAGTATGTCTGAAAGTAGAAAAGTAAGTTTTGTAGTACATTTGAGAAGCCTCTTAGAGGCGCTGTCAGGAGCTCCTAAGTCAAGCTTATTTGGTGTAGGGTTGATATTTTTAGAAGTTAGCACTTTTATTGACTTTCATAAGATTTTGGAAATGCGGGGTCTCACTGTATTGCCTAGGCTAGTCTTGAGCTCCTGAATTCCAGTGATGCTCCTACCTCAGCTTCCTGAGCAGTAACCTATCAAAAGAGAGTTATACACTATACTTCCCAACTACTCTCATGTATAGTCTTAAAGTCATTTTACATCTGTATATTATTTGCCCAAGTGCCCTAAGTTAGTTTTTACCATTTCAGCCTTCCTTTAAAGACAGAAATAGACAAGTATACTATCTAGATGGTACAACTAAACCTTGGATATTGTCATGTGTGGCCATTCCAGCAGATTTACCCTTTGGTAAGCATGCACTGAAGCAGCACTTTAGTTGAAGGCCCAGTGGCAAGAATGCAGGGTAAACCAAGATGGTCACTGACTTTCTCTTCTTCTTGTCTTTTTAGGGCAGCCATTCTGAAATACATGCCGAGCAGGAGGGTGGACCCTTCCAACAATGCTCACCCCAGCTTCCCCAGAAAGATAAGATGGTCTACTAATTTCAGAATTGCTGGGTGATATAGCACTAAGGTACTGCTAAGAATGTTCAATATGCCAAAATTTTCTGTCAATCTCCAGAGACAGTTGCAATGAAACTGAGTCCATACAGGGGACAGGGACTAGAGTTCTTGGACAAATGTTTTAAGAAGGAAAAATATACTTCTGCTTCCTTACAAATGTTATCACAACTAATTACTCATCTAAAATGCAGCTTAATTTTAGCAGCCATCTTTGAGAAACACAAGCATAATTTTCATTATAGAGAATGGTGGGGGGTTTTTTCCTTTGATGTTTTTATGTTGCCAAGGCTAGTTCTGAATTTATGGGCTCACATGATCCACCTGCTTCAGTTTCCAAACTAGCTAAGACTATAGATGTATGCCAATGAGCTTGGCTCTTAAGTAGGATTTTAACATGAAGATTGACCTCCTGAAGAACAGAGCCACATCCCCATTAAGTTGACAGCGTCAGTGTCAGCTGTGAGTTTAAACCTTCTCTCGCCTCTTCCCTTAGACCCCCCCTTTTTTTTTTACTAGTTTGATTTGGAAAACATGTTGGTAAACCTTAAGTACCATATATTCCTGAGGGGTAACATCTACGTTCCAGTTCTGCCCTGATGGGTGTATCCTCCACTCCAGCCCACCTCCCACATGAACTTGTTTCATGGAGTATTCTTTCTTGCTAGGAATTTCAACTCTACTCCCTTTCCCATTCTCCAGCAAAACAATCAAGACACATGACCAAATTTCTTTTTATTTTGCATACATAGGAAACAGTACCCTATCAAAAGAGAGCAAAAGAGACATGAGCCAGTTGTTGCCAAGAAAGTGCATGCACAGATCTACTTCAAATTTGTTCCTAATCACGGGCTCTATAGGACTTCACACAGGAGCTGGAACTGCCCAAAGAAGTGGGTGGGACCAACTGGAGTCCCAAAGGAGATATGAACATTTGGGAAAGGTCCCCAGAGGCAGAATTTTCACCAGCAGTGCCTGTGTTCTTGGTGGCAAGATTCAAATCCAGATTAATGGGACACATAATTTATTTTACAGACATGGGATTATAAAATTGTCGAGTCTCTTAAGATTGTTATAAAAAAAAACTTAGGCAAAATTTAGTCACAGATGCTGGGCCCCTTGATTCAGATGTACCCTGATCCAATTCCCAGGGGCAGCTCTGAATGTGCTTCTTTATATTAGAAAAGTAGAAGAAATTGAAGTTTCAAATGCAAAACAAATGACTCGCTAGACAGAAGAGGAATGATTTGGACCCATGTAGTTATCTTGGTTGTAAACAGCAGACATTGTGCTTTATCATCTCATTTAAAATATAGACTGAGCATGGGAAGGTACTGCAGGCAGGGACCAGGGGTCAGAGGTCACAGAAGAGTTGTGAGTTACTCAGGTGGCAGCATTTGGGTTCACAAACTGTTCCCAAGTGTTTTGTTTCCTTCTGCATTTCCCGTGGAATTGCCTGGGAAGGTCACACAAACTCTATCCTTAAAGTAAATCCATGTCGCTACCCTGGCCCTATCTCTACTTCTCACCCATCATATAAATACCTCTTTCCCAGCATTATGGACACTATATTTCTTGGCAGGAGGAAAACATTCCACGTCCACTTTAGTGAGTCTGGATACTCAAGGTTCATGAGTAACAATTCCTCAAAGACTTTGAATTAGTTTATTTAAAAAACAAGACCCCTGCTGTACAGCACTGGTGACCCACACCTGTATTCCTAGCTACTCAGGAGACTGAGATCTGAGGACGATAGTAGGAAACCTGCAGGAAAGTCCATAGGATTCTCATCTTCAATTAACTACCAGAAAGCTAGAGCAGAGGTGTGGCTCAAGTGGTAGAGCTCTAGCCTTGAGAGAAAAAAAATGAAAAAAGAACACTTTCTACTCCTAGTTCTATTCCTGACAATACTACATGCAATCTAGGCATCTTGGCTATGCTGCTTTTCTCCTAGTACACACAACATGATCAGGTCTCAGTCTGGTTTTAAATACACATCAATGCGACTAACTACACAGAGCAATAGAACTCCCAGCTAATTGTCAACAACTCTCTTGTTTACTTGTAAGTCTATGGGTGAGCTATGATTCTTACTCCAAGGATTTGCATTTCAAAACTACATCTTGATTCTAGTTTAGATCAAATGGTCAGTTTTCTTCTTTCTCTGAGCAGGCTCCTCCTCTTTGAAGCCCAGTAGACTCTTGCTGGGACTAAAATCATTACTACCAGCTCTGGTTCAGCAAGGTTGTGGTGCCATACTGGGCCATCTTGGCCTTGTTTTCTCTTTCAAAAGGATTGATGGAAATACCTGGGCAGATGTGACCTTCTGCTATGAAAGTGTCTATCAAACACATCATCAGAGCTGCCTCGGAGAAAACAGTGGAAGCCTCTAGGCAGTAAAATCCATGGAGAACCTCTGATCTCAAAGGACAGGACACATACATTTCCATATATGCACTAAATAGGGGGAGGGCATTTTTTTTCTTCTCCAAGTCAGAACAAGAACTCATCAAATAGTGTCTGTTTGGGACCAGGAGTGATTTCCCATGAGTTTCAATGACTTTCCTTAGTGATCTTCTGATAACTGCAATGTTCATCTTGGTCCTGATTCTGATCTTCATCTGGAAGCAGATGAGCTTTTCTGGTCTGTACAGAGGGAAGCCTACCTTTGGGATGGGAGTGGAGATTGAAGATATTAAGGGGGTTGTTTATCTTCAGGAGGTGAGTGACACAAAAGAGGCTCATTCCCCTCTTCGTATCTCTAATAGCTTCGGGAAGAAGAATTGGCTAGGTCAGCTGACAGGCACCCTGTGGGCTCCTCCTCGCTGCCCAGCTGCTTGTTCATAGGCTAAGCCGCCTACTGGACTCAACTCAGTTAGTCACCCTCTATCCATTCTCCCTCATGTGCAGGCTCTGTTTTCCTCTCCTCCTAGCCTCTCTCATGATGATATGGTCATGTCACCCTAAGAATGCCAATCCTTGAGGACTGTTGTCACATTCCGCCAGACTATATCAGAAACAAAAGCAACAGAGGAGACACCCTGTGAGTTCAAATATTGTCCTCCACGGAAAACTTGAAAGGGAACTGTGCTTGCTTTGAAGAGATCAGAGGAGTTTGCCCTTGGGCCATTCCTGGAAGCCAATGTCCATGGGGATGGGGAGGGCCTTTGAAAAGCCCATCTGGTCTTTCCACCTTCCCCCACTGTGTGTCACTACTTGTCCTTTACCACCTGTTCGTACGGGGGTGGGGGAGTGTTACAGTAGGAAGGAGGAGGTGGGTAGGTCATGGCTCCCTGGGGTGAATTGGGTTGGAAAGCCATTGCCATGGTATTCCCCACTGGATTCACACCCAATCCTCCAGGGTCGGTATAATATGGTGGCCCCGGCTGCTGGACTCCTGTAAAAGAAGACAATCATACGTGAGTTCAAAAGAAAAGAAAAAAAAACACAACACTAGGCAGTTTCAAAATTGGATTTTTGTTTGTTTTGTCAATCACAGGGCTTGAACTCAGGCTTGGGCATTATCTGAGCTTTTTTGCATGAGGTTAGTGCTCCACCATTTTGAGCCACAGCACCACTTCTGGTTTTCTGGTGGTTAATTGGAGATAAGAGTCTCATGCAGTTTCCTGTGGGGGCTGGCTTTAAATTGTGATCTCAGATCTCAGTCTCCCAAGGAGCTAGGATTATAGGTGTGAGCCACAGATGCTGGGCTGTCAGAACTGGTCCTTTCATTTCATGATTGACTCCATTAATTTGCATCAAGGACCCAACACATCCAAAGACAGTGGATTCAAGGGAATAAGCAAGAACAATACATGGAAGAGTTTGCTAAAAACTTTCTAATATAACTTTCAGGTTCAACTTGCTGAGTTAGCATTGTGTGAGATCAGGGAGTCCCTGTCATTCAGGGTAAGCCCAAGGTCACAGGTAGGTGAAAAACTACCAAGACCTATGTTAGCAGCAGAGCTAGAGTTGATGTATCGCTACGCACCGTCGGTAGGGAATCTCTATTTCTCTCAAATATCACCAAAGATGCTCTTCTCCAAGTCTGAGGATCTAAGATGCAGACCAGCATGCTGGACATGGAGGGTTTCAGAAAAGCTGACAGGAGGTAAGAGAACAGCTATCCTGTCCCAAATTGGCTGTAACTCTGAGTTGTGACTTCATAGCTTACTTTTAGGTTTGGTTACTTCGATCATGTTTTCCCCTTGATTGGAATAACACGCATATGGACACCACACCCAGCCAACCATTGGTTGAGATGGAGACTCATAACCTTTTTCTCTTTTCCCTTCCTATGGATGGATGACCTATGATCTCTTGATCTTCATTTTCCAAGTAGTTAGGATTATAAGGTTGGGCCCCTGATAATCTTCTAGATTCCATTCTCTCCCACCTCCCCCCACCACAAGAGTTTACTTAAGTAAACTCTGATTCTTAGGAAGATGTCCATTCATTTGGGTAAGGTATTCCAAACCTCTCAAGCAGGTAAAAGTCAAATCTTGAAAATCTACAAATGTGCTCAAAGGGAAGTGGGACAGCTACAAAAACTAGGTCTGCATTCCAGGTGCCAGCAGGGCAGAAAGTCGGCAACAGATGCCACTTTTTCAAACACCACAGCATCTCACCCCTGTGTTACCCCACAGATGGCACCTGCTTCTGTCAGGGCAAACTCATTGCCTTGGCATGTGTTTACTATCAATGGCCATGAGTTTCTCAGATGTGTTATAAATTAAATGTGCTCTACAATTAATGTGTTATAGAATTTAAAAGTTCAAGTTAGAAAATAAAGGTAGTCGTTGTAGTACCCTAGAAAGATGATGAAGGCCTTTGAGTATTAGAGAAGAAGGGGAAATGAGCTAACAGGAAAGCACAGCCAATGATTGATGGAAGCCAACTCAATATGGAATATAGAAGGATGAAGACAAGATCTAGAAAGAAAAGGCTCTTGTTTCTAGTCTCAAGGAAGGAGGACGTACCAATACAGGACAAGGACAGGGCAGATGGAAAATTCCACACTGGAGAGATAATTGCCAAGAAAAAGGATAGTCAGTTATGCAAATGCAGTAAACAAAGACAAGAGTGTGGATAAGACCACTAAGGAAGTGCTCAGAGAGGAAGAAAAGGCAGTAGCTAGGAGAAAGTTACAGTAAAGGTCAGCATTCAAGACAGAAGAACACAAAACATTTAAGGTGACCAGGTGCTAGTGGCCTAATCCTATAATCCTGGCTACTCAGGAGGCTGAGATCTGGAGGATCACAGTTTGAAGCCAGCCTAGGCAGAAATATCTGGGAGACACTATATTCAATTAATAAATAAAAGGCAGAGCTAGAGGCATGAATCAGTAGCATAGCACCAGTCGTGAGCAAATAAGCCAAGAAAGCACAAAACTTCCAAGTTCAAGCCCAATATTGGCAAAGCAACAGCAACCCTGAATCGTTTCAGGTCATAGAGAAGGATACAAAGGTGACTAAAGAAGTCGGGAAAAGTGTCATGACTGCAGAGGTAAAGGACAATATTGTGTGTGATCAAGTGCCTATATGTGCATGTGCACTGGTACTGAGGCTTGAACTCAAGGGCTATGTTCTGTCCCTTAGTTCTTTCACTCATGGCTGGCACTCTTACCACTTGAGCCACAACTCCACTTCCAGCTTTTGGTGGTTAATTGAAGGTAAGAGCCTCATGGACATTCCTGCCTGGGTTGGTTTCAAACCTTGGTCCTAGATCTCAGCCCCCTGAGTACCTAGGGGTTATAGGTGTGAGGGTTATAGGCATGAGCCACCAGTGTCCAGCTACAAAGGAGAATTTTTTAATCCTATTTTTATTATCTTTAAGTAGTTGTATGTCAGCCCTTTCATCATTTTCTCTCATTCTTCCCAACACAATCCCTCTCTTTAATTTTCTTAGTTTCATAGGATATGCACTGAGTTTTATGACCGCATTCTTCACCCCAAAAGAAGAATTTTTAAAAACTCATTGTTATGATAAAGGTGATGTACAGAGGGGTTACAGTTACGTAGTTAATGAGTACATTTCTTGTTGGACAGTGTCACTCCTTCCCTTTTTCCCTCTCCCAGTTTTTCCCTCCCATCCCCACCCACAAGTTATATAATTCATTTTCAACTCAGTGTCTAGTGAGTACCACTGCTGCATTTGTCCGCCCTTTGTCCCTCCATTTCTGTGCCTCCTTTACCTTCCCAAAGACAGATAAACAAACAAGATGAAAAACAAAACAAAAACAACACAGAAAAGAACCTCTTGTTCCCATTTCCTGGAGTTCATTTTGCTATTATTTTATATGATAGATGCACACAGGCATTGAGCCTTTGTGTTCTGAAAGAATTTTTAAGAAGGCATAAGTGACTGGCCCTCTACAAGACCAAAGAAAGCTTAAAAGAAGAACTGCAAATTTTCAGCAGCAGTAGAGTTCGTGTTCTTTATTTGATATGGCTAGAACAGTGTCAGATCAGTTACCCAACACAGTAGGAAAAAAGCAATCCACGGGTAGGAATCAAGGGGAGAGACACTGTAAGGATGGGAAATGTTTCAACATTTTTTTCAGGGGTAGTGACAGATACAAAGGAGGGGGGGGGCTGGGAAGGTGGCTCAGTGGTAGAGAGCTTGCCTGGCATGCATGAGGCCCTGGGTTCGATTCCTCAGCACCATATAAGCAAAAAGAAAAAAGCCGGAAGTGGCACTGTGGCTCTAATGGTAGAGCACTAGCCTTGAGCTGAAGAGCTGAGGGACAGCGTTCAGGCCCAGAGTTCAGGCCCCACAACCGGACCCCCCCCCAAAAAAAAACAAAGGAGAGAGGATGGGTGAGAATGGTTTGGATACAGAAAATGAATGCAGCATCTATGAAGAAGTTGGACTAACAGGGAAACTATTAGGATCGTGAGAGGTGAATGGAAAAGCAGCCCATGTTGCTGTTTTCCTCATGGATTAGGCTTAGACTGTGTTGGTTTGTTTGTTTAATTAATTAATTAATTTTTATTTTTTATTTTTGGCACATAGAACTTTCTTCCTCTTTATTGACAGGTAATCAGGAATTCAGAATGAACACCGTGAGCCCTAACTCTGCACAAGGCTGCTTCATGTGTTGTTGTTGTTGTTTTTAATGTTTATTTTTATTGTGAAAACACCGTACAGAGGGGTTACAATTACATGAGCAAGGTAATGAGTACATTTCTTATCAAGCATTTATTTTTAAATTATCCATAGGTATACAAAATCCAACAGGTTGGTTTTGTTTGTACAATACACCTTTTTTTTTCTTGGTCATGGGGCTTGAATTCTGGGTCTGGGCGCTGTCCCTCAGCTCTTTAGCTCAAGGTGAGCGAGCCCTCTACCACTTGAGCCACAGCACCACTCCCAGCTTTTTCTGCTTATGTGGTGCTGAGGACTCAAACCTAGGGCCTCATGCATGCAAGGCAAGTGCTCTGCCACTGAGCCACCTCCCCAGCCCTGGACAATGCATCCTGATCAGTGTCACTCCTTCCATCATTCTTTCCCATCTCTTCCAACCTTAGCCACTCCCTCAACTTACCTATTTCCATTTTCACATATGTACCACCCTTCCTTTCTTCATTTATTGGACAGTGTCTACAATGTCCCTGAAGCATGGCCATTCACACTCATCCTAGAACCTCAACTCAGATTTTGTAGAAATTGGCAAAAAGGGATTAATCCCCAAGTTGTCAATTGTTGCAAAATAGATTTGAAATATTTGAACATGGAGATGGGCATCTCAAATACAAAAAAAAAACCACACAACAGAACAGTCAATAAATTATGTATTAACAACATGAACTTGGCAGCAGCAGGCCAAGAACATCCTTTGAGCTCTGCTTTG